CAGACTCGGTTGCGTGATTCTCGGACACCCCGTACGTTCCCAGAAAATACCGGCGCGGCGAGTCGTCCCGAGGTTAAGTTCCGAGGCGTGAAATTCGAAATTCCGTGGACGAGGAGTAGCGTGACTCGGCCCCGTAAACGAAACAACGCGGTGGAAAAGAAGCACACGTCCGTCTGTGCCCGGCAACCGCTTGGTCTCGTTACACTGGCATTAACCTTTGTACAGGGTTCTGGCGGCCGTCCCTCGAAACGGCAGGTCTACGTGTTCTTGTTCGCCTGCGATCTCAAAAATAGAAACTGGACTGGTGAGCCCCCATCGATTCCCGTTCTCCTTCGGACGGTTAATTGGCAACGATTACCTGTCGAAATCTATGCTTCGTCACGATCGTCGAAAGATAATCCGTTCGATTAAATTTCGAGCCACCTTTCCTCCGATCCGAAAGATCGTGAAGCGATCGGCGAGATTCGATCGGTTCGCAGATTCGACGAACCATATGTCGATTGGAATTATAAATTATGCGCACAAGCGTAAGGGGTATATACCGGGGTGTGGTAATTTAAGGAATCGATGCGACCATCCTGGAGACGGGACCGCGAAAATAAACGGTGAAATTCTAAAACGGTACCGCGAGCTCGGCCGGTAAAATAGGAAACGGACGAGAAAAGCAACAGGCAGGGGACACGGAACGCGGGGCTGGCCTCCGCGGACGCATCGATTCCCCGGGCTGTAATTAATTGAACCGTATACGCAGAGCCGCGATACCGATCTATCGATACAGGGCAGGTCGTCGAACTTGTCTCGCGATCGTGTGCATTCTCGAGGAGAAAGGCGTTTCGAGGTTATAATGTGCCTGTCAAAATGACAGGAAAAGAACTGCGCGAGTTACCCCCACCCCCTGGGAACCCGTACAGAAGAGACCGATCGACAAACGAAACGAAACGAAACGAAACGAAACGAAACGAGACAAGACGGACGTAAACGAACGATTATAGCCTAGAAAAAGAAATGCTTGGTGATCACGAACCTGGTTTTGAATCGCTGAGTATCGTCCTGCCCGGCCCACATTTTCTTCTGATCGTCTCGCGAAGGAGGTGTTCCCTGTCCTCTGAATCACCGCGTACACCGCACTGGCACGCGAGTTTCAGCGTCGCGACAATTCGTGCCGGTTTATGCGCGTTCGAACAAGCTACGACGTGGGTCAGTCCAGGCTGGGTCACGTCGCCCCTTGTCGTCCCGTGTCCTTGTCGCACCGGTGCCCCACCGCGTTCGCACGAAAGAGACGGACCGTAGGAATCGCGAGGAGAAACCTCTAACGCGCGCCGCACGAGGAGGAGGCGCCACCTCTAAAAACTCGAGAAACACGATAGAACGAAGCGTGCGTGCGTGCCGCCGCGTTCCGTACAATCGCGAAATCCACTGACGGCGAGCGATCGACTGCGTCGCCGTCGCGTCACACGGCACAGGCTTTGCGTAGGGAGAACGATCCTCGCGCAAGTGTGCACGGGGCCTTAGGCCGGTTTTATTCGCTCCGAGACTGCGCGGACGGTCAACCTCCCAACGGGACACACGTTCGCGCAGACACACGAAAAGAGACTCGGAATCTACGGCACGACCTCTCTTCCTTTGGCTATTTCGTCGGCCTGCCGGCCACGGTTATATTTATCCTACGCATCGCAGTTTTTCTGGATTTTAGACCTAACCAGGAGTACCTCTTACGCCGCTTTACCTTATACGGTCGGATTGGCACAACGATCGAGAACGCGTGGGCGAGCCTTGAAGGTTATTTCCTCCATGGAGCTCGCGCGTGACAGATAGAACTTTTCTCTGGAGAGATTTAGAATTTATCGCGAATAAACAGGATGTGCGTTTTAAATGAATCCTATCGATGTTCGCCGAGCACGTAGACTATGGCGAGGATAAATTATGGTTAACCCCGTCTCTGAAATTTCAGCTTATAATGCATATCGTGGGGTGAAGTGAGACAGGGAACGTTGTAATTCCGGAGACATCAGTCTAGAAAACGTTTGATTGCGGTGATTCGCAGGAATTGATTCGATACCACACGCGAATGGCAGCCGATCGAGTTAGCAACGCA